TAATAAAAGATATCAGATTCACCCAAAGAACCTTGTCTTCAAAACAACATGACATGTTTTTTAGTTGATTTCTCTTTCAGTGTTACCCTTTAATGCTGAAGATAAGTTCCGTTCATCTCTTGTAGAGCTCTTTGAATCTTCCAGGACATTCGCCAGAACACATCAGTTCTGCTAGAGCTTATTTTCTTTCTAGAGACAAATTGCTTTGCCTTTACAACAAGTGAGCAGTGAACAAAAATAGAATGAGGATCAAAAACTTAAGTAGGATCTCCAACAGAATCTAAATCTGAATCCTTCACATCCCTGCAAATCTCACTTTGGGTTCAGACAAGGCTCCACTGACTTAAAATGTTTACATCTCCCCTCCCCTTCCTTCCCCTCTTTTTCTCCCTTTCTCCCCCTCTCCAAGTCCAGCAGTGTAGAAATAACAAAGCAGAGTATTAATGAGCCCCTCAGCTAATGGGAATCCTGGAGAGCTGGGAAGTACATCAAGATATTAGCCTAATCTGCTCTTTAAGACATCTAGTGATGGAGATCCCATGACATCCCTTGGAAATGAGCCACAGTGCTTAGTTAGAAAGTGTTTACTAATCTAACCTTAATCTGATTTAAATCTCCCTTTTTGCAGCTTAATCCCATCACTACTTGCCCTATCGCTGGTGGCATGGATAACAGTTTACTGCAAAGAGGAAGATTTGTAAACTATTTAAGACCTCTACCCTCATTCTTCTCTAAACTAAAGAAACCCAGTTCTTTCATTTTTTGTTGTTGTTGTTTTTTTCAATTGCAGGTCATGTTTTCTAGACCTCTGAATATTGTTGATTCTGTCCTCTGGCCCCTTTCTAACTGGCATGCCTCTTTCTTGACCCAGTACAGCAGGTGAGACCATGGGTGGATGAATCGTTTCATGTTTCTTACAGGCGATACTTCTATTCATGCATCTCTCACTTTTTTGCCACAGTATTCCATTGTTGACTGACATTTACTTTGACCTAGTTATATCCCCTAAGTTATTTTCTGTAGAACTACTGCCATTGTGGTCTTTCTCCAATTTGTATTTTATATTTGGTTATTTTATACTACTTTTCGTTGAATTTCGTCTTACTGATTTCAGGCCATTTCTTTAAGAGATCTAAATAACTTTGAATTTCAGTTGCATCCTCTCAATTCACTATCATTTTCAGATTTTAATAAATGTATTCTCTCCTTTCCCTTGTTCAGGTCCTTAATAAAAATATGGAGTAATCCTGGACTTGGCAGAGACCCCTTTAAACAAAATTCCAGAATATATTAGCCATTAAATATGGCTAATACTCCTTTTGAATATAGCTTCCAACTAGCTATGTGCTTATGTTATAGTAGTCTCCTATAGTATTCTCCATATTTTTGCTTGTTTGCTTAAGGTGCTGTTATGTGGGACAGTGTCTCAAAAGCCTTTATATTACAACTGTGGTTTCAGCCCTGCCCACAGTCCTTGGTTTGTTTAACATGACTTCACCTTGATAAATCAGTGTTGGCTGTTACTTAGCAATTTGTTTGCTTTGTGTTTACAAACCAATTAGGTTGGTTTTCTTCCTGGGAATTGCAGTTAGGTTATAATTTCCTGAGTTCCCTAATCATTCTCCTGTTATAGACTGTTTGTCCTTTTCCATTCTTCTGTAACTTCCTAATCTTCCCTGAGGTCTCTAAAGATGATGGTTAGATTTTTTGAGATGGCTTCAACCAGTTCCTGAAGTACTCTAGGATGAAGTTCTTCAGGCCAGAGTTCTTGCCTCCTTATGACTGATAATATTTATTTAACTATCTCATCATAGTCATTTAGACAAGACTGAAGCAAAAAAAAGG